AGTAAATTACAAACATTCCGCCAAACCAAACCGCATTCCGCGACCGTGGTTACTAGGGCTGGATTTAGCATAATTTGTCCACTGGATTGTGAACTCCGCCACAATCTGTGACCGCAAGAATGAATTGCGTATAAATTATAAGTTTAATGTATTATCCATAGAGCGTCGGTGGCTCAGGGGTTTAAACACTTGACTTGTAATCTGCAGTTCCTGGGTTCGAATACCGCTATGTGCCACTATGTTTTTCTATTTTCGATTTACATATGTACATTTATCCGACGTTCTTACAGTGAAGGAAAACATCATGATGTAACCTGCACATATCTCTGAAGAAAATTCAAAGATATGTGTGAAGTCAACCAACCCGCACTGGGCCAGCGTGGTTGACTATGGCCTAGTCACCCTAACTTACGGTAGGCTCCGAGCCCCTCGGTGGGGGACATGTAGTGAGCTGATGATGAAGATTATCCATTAAAGTATGATTTAGGTTTCGGATGAAAAAGTTTTTTTTTATTAATAACAATAAATGAAATAATTTTCCTAAGAAAAACACATGTTTTTTTGTTATTTTATATGTTTATAAAATTTTTTAATAGTCTGGATTTGTTTGACGCTTTTATTCATGTTTGAAAAGTACGATGAATACAAGATCAAAAAATATGACTCTAATCATAGGGTTTCTAAGACCAAAATCCCCGTTTTTCATCATATTCATCATCACATCATATTGTTACATCTGTTTTTAAACATAATAACAGGGATAGAAATTTGTTTTATACAGATAGTCTGGTATAAGAAAACCACAGTAAATTTGTTTGTATATTTGGATTTTGTCAAATCGTTTACCTATATCCTCAATTCTCTATGTATCACATTTGATTTTGTCCCGTGTTATGCAAAATTGTTTAATAAAACGTACGTAGTACGCAACAACATATACCTATAAGGTTCCGTACCAACTTTATGGGTAGCCGAAGCTCGGCAGACTGTGAGACAGGTACAGTAATTGTGTTATGTCCAACAGAGCGAGCTTTTAGAGATATAGCATCGGATAGCTTGAACTCTGTTTACTTACGGAAATTTTGATGAGAAACAAAGCACCATGGCAGTAATATCGAACTTGCCAACTATCTAGTACCACGACTATTACTAATTACGGTAAACACCGTAAAGTTTACAATTTCCAATATTGTCTCTCCGCTTTATCCCAAAATTTACCGTTGGTTTCTGAGACTAAAATCTATTTATAAAACATATCGTCATCCCTGTCATTATCATTGACAAACCTGAGATAACAATATGTTTTAAAAGGAGATTTCTGTATAAGAAACCTACGGATCGATTATACTGTGCCTATGTATACAGCACAGCGTGGAGGTAGCTGGTCCACGCATCCATAAAGGCATATCAAGACGAGCACAACCTTCAGTAATGAAGTATGCGAAGAAGAAGATGTATACTGCAATAACAGAGGTGTTTGCCTGTTTGCAATTTTGAAATGATAATGTTATCTTAAATATGTCCTCGATTTTGACATTTATTTTGTTTCGTAACAGTGTGCTCTCGATTGTTATTCGTCTTCGACTTTAGAATATTAACCCTTAAAATTTTCTTAACAAAGGAACGAGAAACATAAACAAGTTTGTTCTTAAAACAAAAGCATAAAACAAGTTACGAAACAAGTTAATAATAATACAAGGTCCCTAAGAAAACAATGAATAAATCAAAAATTAACATCTGAATAACGGCTAAATATACATTCAATTGTTTTGTAAAATAACAAACGATTAAGGTTTATTTGTAAACAAAAAGTTTTTATGTTAAGTTGTTTATAATTTATTTATAGCAGTTATTGTATTATATTATATTTAAAACTTTCTTTTTATTATGTTTATAATTTAATAAATGTTTACATTGACTGTCGGATAAAGAATCAATATTTATCAATTTTATCTCTTTCTAATATAAATGAGAATGTTTAGATGGATGGATGTATGGATGATTCTTTGAAGATATTTCCAGAACGACTGATTGGAACGTTCCTAATCTCAAAGAAATTTGACAATACTTTTTTTTAATTCAACGCGGTCGGAGTCGCGGACGACAGCTAGAAAATTATTTTTTTTTATAGGAGAAGGGGGCAAACGAGCAACGAATCGCCTAATATTATTTGATCCGACGCCCATGGACATCCGCAACGCCAGAGGAACCGCAGATGCGTTGCCGGCCTTTAAGGAAGGTGTACGCTCTTTTATTGAAGGCCCCTAAGTCGTAACTGTTTGGAAATACCGCTGAGGACAGGGTGTTCCACAACGAGGCTGTGCGAGGTAAAAAGTTACGCGAAAATCTCGTCGTTGTGGAATGCCAGCCATCGGGTTATATTATAACTATAAATAATAAATTAATTGAAATTCAGCAACAATTTGTTTCTTAACCTGAAGTTTCAGGTTAATGAAGTAATTGAGGGCTCATTACTCTCAGTGGCCTCTTTACAAGGCAGTTCTCAAAATGTACGAAAAGATAACGTTCCCCGGGGCGCTGTCAACTTCTAAACTTTTTTGGGGTTGCGACTTTTGTCTCTTATACGATGACCTCGAAAAATAAACAGTTTAACAAATCAGCTTTATGCCTTTAAATGTCAAGATACCAAAAACAAAAGAAGGTTTTTTTTTATTTCTAAACAGACGATTTATTACATTCTTATTTTTTACAGACAGCAAAAAGATACGCTGTTACTTTGTTCGTTACAATATTTTATGATGTTAACTATTTTGCCTAGTGTAGAATATGTGACGAGACAATGTGTGTGAAATACAATACTCTTGTTAGAAAATCTTCACGAAGAATTTCCACTGTTAAAATATACTGTTCAGTTTTGTGTTTCGTCAGTGGGAACCCAAGGTTAAGCTAGCAATTGATTATATCGTTTCTAAAACGTTTATTTACATTAATAGGGAGATGAGAGCAAATTACTTTAAGTACTAGGCGAGCAATTTCGTCAGACTAGATAAATATGCCTCAATTTACGTTACCGCTACAAGTCCTAGGATAATGTCCAATTTATTAAGGGCAATATCATTAGTGAGGTTTTTTATGGTCAGATAAAAACTTAACGATAGCTTCTCATGCGAGCAAATGTTAAACTATTAAATGTAATATAACAAATTATATTATTTATTTTAAATGCAATAAGAATTTAGTCTTACTAATATTATAAATGCGAATTTTTTAATGGATGGATGGATGTTTGTTTGAAGATCGGGACGGTATAGATGTAGAAGTTAGCCTGGAAGAACACACAGACTACATATTAAGTTCGTTTTTAATCACGCGCGGACGGAGTCGCGGGTGGCAACTAGTTATAATTGAATTTATATAATTCAATACTCTTTGAATTGGTGAATTAAAACAATAATAAATTCTTAAACACTTAGCATTTTTCTTGCAATTCATTCTCCGGTTAAAAATAGTTTTTACATCAAATAGATTTAAAAATCTTAAGCTTACTTATTTCCACGTTAGCTATATAAAGTTAATTTAAGTTGCTCGCATAAATTGTTCAAGCTAAGTCGTGAAGTAAATTAATACTTAAGTGTTTCTATCCGGTTAGAAGAGAATTTAAAGAGCTCGTTTCAAACGTGTGCTTGGTTTTATTCACTTTGCATAATAATATTTATTATTAAAATAAAACTTGCAATGGATATGAACTGTTTAAATATCATAGTAGAGGGGTACAGTCAGCTGCATATCTTACTAATATTATAAATGTGAATGTTTGGATGGATGGATGTTTGTTTGTTTGAAATTTTCTCCACAACGACTGTATGTATCTCGATAAAATTTAGCATAGATGTAGAACTTAATCTGTAAGAACATATAGGCTACTAATTAAGTTTTTTTTTATTTCCACGCGGACGGATTTACGGACTGCTAGTAATATTATAAATGAAAATCATATTATTCATAATAATTTATATTGGCTCAACACGACATGTGCACTTTCAATACTGGCGGCAAATGACCATTTGATTTAAAAAAAAACACAATTTTTTGTAGGTCTCGTAAACTGAAATAATCTTTGTTAATTGATTCCAAAGTAAACATTTACATATGTAGTTGCCTTAAATATCCGAGACGTATATAAATATTTACACTTTTTGGTTTAACATTCCTTTGCCAAATGTGTTATTAACTAATTTAAAAGTTAGAAATTTTACACCGGCTTATTGGAACAGCGATTGAAATTAAAACGATTAAAAAAAACAAGAAACATTCTACTGGGATTTATTAAAAAAAAACAATTAATAAATGGATCTGTAGCGTGGAACGTTATTTTTTGTAACATTACTAATTTTGTGAGTTATCTAATAACAAAAATAGGTACTTTTATAGGAAAAAACTAACCCTTTAATATGTGTGTATTCTTTCTTTATTTTTGTAGTAAGCTAATAAATCAGATGTTATCGACGTTGCCCTTTGCTTTATTATTACAACCTCGAGTTTATTTCTATACCTAACTCATACCTCTTTTCCATCCCACCCTTTTTCTTATAAAGAAAAGATAGAAAGTGGAAGTGGACTTTCCGGATGCGAGGATGCATGGAAAGGGAAAATATTTTCTAACTTTGCATCCTTTCCTCCGTCGATTAAAGGTAAGCAACGCATATGTACTTGCGTATGTCTATGGGCAACGGTCACTTCGCTATTTCAGCGATTTCATGTGGTCGCTAGCTCGTATGCCACCTTATGATATAAAAAAAATATGGCTTATATGGGATAAGGAATAAAATATCTAAAAAATACTCTGACTTACGGTTGGTTTCTGAGACCAAAATCCCCGTTTTAAACATATCTCTATACCTATTTTTTCAAAGATACTAACAGAGACGATGATATGCTTCACACAGAGATATGGCTTGTAGAAATCGACAGTTAGAAATATTTAGATAGAGATTACTACTGAAAAAAACGATAATTTAATAATAATTATAATTCTCCGAAACTCCATTGTCTTCGATAAATAATGAATAATAGCTACACGCACGTATATTCGTAATTAATTAGCTGTCAGCAAAGTCTAGTTTAAAACACGACGGGAGTCCTTGTTCATAGAAATTGGTTATGGGAACAACTCTTGATGAGTATGAAACTAATCGGCGCCATATTATTTATATGTAAGCACAGCCGTTATTAATTACTTTATAATTCTAATGAAAGCTTAATTTAATAACAATACTGTTGGATACTTCTAGATATTTAATGTCCAGTGCCAAGTAATAGATGGCGTTAGTAATGCGTTCAAATCTAGATGTGTTTCAAAATATAGCTATTTTATAAACTGTTTAATTTACCTATGCTAATGTGTCTTTATATATGTGGGATGTTTTGATTATTTCAAAAGGCATGGGGAGATGTCGGTTCTATTTTTACTATTCGTAACTCTATGACTTCTAAGTCTTTATTTAAATGTATTTACAATATTTAACAATTTTTCCTTTCACAAAATAATTTTAACCGATGCTATAAGATCTTTTAAATGCTGCATTCCGTCTTCTTCTACAGAATTTCCTTTTATATCTTCTTCGAGTTGAAAATCCTTTCAATTTGTCGTTATTTGTTATATTCTGTACTATTTGTGACCATTTTTGGTCTAGATCTTCTGGTGGTTTGTCATTGACTAGAATTATAGGTTTTATAAAGTTAACACTCTTCACAGGCTTAGATTTTCTTTCTTCTTTGACGTGTGTTGATGATGTTCTTGACCAATCTTTACGTATCGAACCTCGTGGTGAGTTTACTTTAGAACTTTCCTTACTGGATATCACCAATTCTTCTAAATTAATATTTGATAGTTGAGAAACTCGTCCGTCGTCATTGACTTCGTTACCAGTTGTTAAGGCAGCTTCAGCGTCTTGGAATTGAAAGAACTGGAATAAAAACATTAAAAATATTACTAATATGTAAACAGAATTAATATTTGACTTATTTCTGACAGAGATTAAATTAGGAAATACGGTGAGTAACGAAGTTAGACACTTTATATGAACCTTATTACTACGAGGGTTTACTCGTGTAATTGCTACTGGTAAAACTAACCATAATTCTCTGCTAAATGGAAAAACTTAATCATTACTACATTAATTTAGGAAAATCTCTAAAAAAAAGTCTTATATAAAGCGTATTTAAACAACTTCTTTCTAATCCAAATGATTCACTGTAAAAAAGGTTCAGTTTTTTTCAATCGCAAAAAAGTTTCAAAGCAGTTTAAAAATATTTGTATTTATAAAATAAACTTTATGTTAATCTATAATTATATCGAAATCAATAAAGAATATATAAATCATGTTGAGTAATCCTCAAAATTAATTATTTTTTAACAGCTGGTAGAGACATAATGGCGGGAAACAGACAGATATCGATATAAACTGGACGCGGTACACAATTGGTATTTTAAGTATAAAATCGTAAAAGCGTCGTAAAACGCTTCAGACTACGTCTTCAAACTCGGAATATTGTTCATGAAATTATTTTATTACATACTGTTCCTCGTGTAAAATTACGAATCTATCATGTATTGAAATGTTATTAAATACATTATTGATGCTAGGTAAATAACAGGTTATATAGGAAGTAAACAAGTAGCTTTTTAGCAATAAAACTTTCTGTTTAATTAAACAAGTGGTGGTTGTTTACTATTTATTGAATAGTTACTTAGAAATAAGAAATATAAGAAAAATAGCGTGCGTTATGGTAGCAAACACTTATGTCCAATGAATAATTGTTGCCAGCATACGAAAAAGTTTATACTAATTTAAATGTTGCCAATACAAAATGAGAATGAAATAAAAACAATTTAATAATTTATGTGAACACTTTCTATAGAATCTATTTATAAAATGGGTAAACAAATATGAACTTAAATCGCTTCAGTTTCAAAGACCAACGATTACAAACACTTATAATCATCATCATCAATCAGCTCACTTTACGACCCCATTGAGAGGGGCCTACCCTAAGTTAGGCCCAGTGCGGCTTGACTTCACACATATCTTTAAATTTGTTCTCAGATGTAAAGATTTGATTCACGATATTTTCTTTCACCGTAAGAATGTCTCATTAAACACATTGGCACATGGTGGGATTCAAACCCAGGACCTGCATACTACAAGTCAAGTGCTTTATCTCCAGTGCCATCGATGCTCTTATATTCATAAAACATTAATTAAGATAGGAGGTATTTATTTAAATCGTCATCAATGTTTTTTTACCCTGTTTGAGTTAAAAATGCCCTTCAAATTATTAAGTCCTTCGCTTTCCATATCCATCGGTTTATTTCAGAATAACCAAATATTTTCGTAAATAAATTATGAATATCAAAATAAAACTAATGGTTTATGAACTTGTATAAAAGATGATAAAAGTAAATGATTTAAAGATATGCGTTACACTAAAATAAACGTTACGGCAGATTTGATCGCAATAAAATACATATCGAACGAAGAACTCGTTAAAATTTTCATCGATTCCGATAATTCTTTTCGAAGTAATTCGAAAATTAAAAAAAAATCGACATTCCTTTGCGTTTATCATTACCTTGACGTTGTAATCTCTGAACATACATATACTATGCTATTTTAATATAGAGAAAACAGGTTATACGTCTCTTTTAATCTTATTAATATTGTAAACAGGAAAGGCTAGATAGGATGGACGTTTGCTAGAAAGCTATCTCAAGAACAGCTCAACAGATCTTGATGAAATTTGTTATAGATCGAGCTTATGGTCTGGAAGAACACACAGACTACTTATTAAGTTTTAATACGCGGACGCAGTCGCGGGCAGCTAGTATAGAAATAAATTGTTTGAAATCATCGTAGCATCATTGGGTCCTTAATTATTTGGTCCATTTATTATTTGAATATAGTGGAATTTTTAGATCTGTGATTAAAGTAGGATTCAACAGTAACATTTAAACTATACCATAGTTTTTTCAATGAGGATACGAGGAATATGTTTTAATATAAGTATATCATTAGTGAATATTTTCGGCTATATAAACACAAGACACATACGAAGTCATTAAAGGCTTTAGAATGGAGTTCACTGAGCTGACGGCCAACCTCCATTAAATGGAGAAGCACCTTGAGGGAGAGAGAGAGAGAATGGAGTTATTGATATAATCTAATTTTCTGAAAATAATAATAAAAATAGTATCACGAATTTGTCTCAATATTAAAAGAAAGGTAACAAATAATATTGAATTTGCTATCATGATAATGTTAAGTGTATTACCCAAACTGTAAACTGACAAAGCTTTACTCTGTTTTCAAACGTTCCGTTTATCCAGAGCGAGGGCGCTTAAAAGTACATTTCATAACTTCACGGCAGAACATTAACACGTTTATGTATTTCGTAACCCTGCTCATATTGTAAACATGGTTGTTAAAATGGCAAACAACGATGGATTAAATTGACAACAGTTTCAAAGAAATCTTTACGACCTTTGTCTTACATCTCCATTCATAATATCAAAGAGAAATCTTCGTAAAAATTATACTTTGAAATTCAGTTAGTCTTTGATTTTTTTTGAAGGTTTTTGAAATTTACCTAATAATAAATCTGTTTGTGACCGAACAAAAGAAACTTACAGTTAATTATTAAAAAAATACCCATTAAAATAAATAATTTTACGTAAAGTCGCGGGCATAAGTTAGTACAATATCTCGTTAGTAAAACGTTCAACGTAATATCGTTGAAACAAACGAATGAACAACAATGTTGCACACAGTTGCCAGTTTCCAATTAAATACTGATAGAATATTAAATAGAAATTATAATGAATTTGTATAACATCAAACTGCACATAGTTTATGTATGTACATCCTCGTTGTTTGATACGAGTCTTATTTCATACTAGCTGTCGCCCGCCACTCCGTCTTCGCGCAATTAAAGTTAAACAATGTAGCTCATGTGTTCTTCTAGACCAGTCTTTGCCAAAGTGGGCGATAACGCCCCCTTGTGGGCGCTGCAGGTCTCAAGTTGCGGGTTATAGTAAAAGTTTCGTTTAGAATTCTCCGTTAATATACATATATAGGTCACAATAATTAATTAATTTAATTTTAAGTTATAGTGGTTTTTTAAATATGTGAAAATATGGGAGCGCTAAAAAAATATTTATTCTCAAAGGCAATAGACAAAATAAGTTTGGGAACCACTGTTCTAGACTATGTTTTACATTTGTGCCAAATTTCATCAATATCGGTTCAGCCGTTCCCGAGATACCTTCTAACAATCATCCATCCATCTAAACTATCGTATTTACATATAATCTTAGTAAAAAGTAAGACAAGATTAGTAAGAAATAAGATTTGATTCCAAGCAAATCAATTAAATTTGGCATAGACATAGAGCATTGTCTAAAAGAACATAAAATATAGTAGTCTATACATATGAATAATGCAATGGAATAGTTAAAGCTATAATATGTTCTTCCATTATGCTTTTTTAATTATGAATTCCGCGTGGACGGAGTCGCGGGCGACAGCTAGTAGCGATATAAATAAATGGAAATACTTTTATAACAACTCAAAAATACGGGCTTAAAGTGGTTTTCATAATTACCATTTGCTTTATAAAGCACACGATCAAACGCTGACCTGAACAAAATGAAAATTCAGAAAGTGAATTTCGCTCAAAAAAATTAAGCGTATATTTACTGCTAAAATTACAAACTTGCTTTTGTGTAACTAACAGACTATAAATTAAACAAAAATATTGGAAAACAGTGACTTTAAAAACATTTACATTTACCATTTTCTTTATTGGATAGGTGTTAATGCAATTGTTAAAGAAAAGCATTTCTCTCTTAAACTTAAGAAATGTGCTAAATTCTCAATAGTGTTATCGCCTACAATAAAAATATAAGAGTGTTATTTTAGATGAAATTCTATTTTTTATTATTCGCCAATAATAAATAATATAATAACGAAAAATGCATTTTGATTTTCACCTTAAAATAGAATCCAAATTCTTTGCTTCGCACGTTATAAAGCGTGTATAGTAAATGTCTAGTACAGGGATTGCAAACCAATGGCACACGCGCTATTAACAGCACGTGACACAATATTTTGGTCGCATTACTGATCACAAAATTCATTATGCACTACGGAAAAAAGCTTGAAGTAAATATTATACGACATGCAAATACGATTTATTTCTTTGCTACGGAATGTTCCCAACAATTAAAAAATATTGATGTCTCTTTATTAAATATTTCTTAAGAAAAATGGCACGTTGATACGTAAAGGTTTGTGATCCCTGGCCTAGTGTATTTTATAGTAAAGCATTTGCTATGATCGTCTACCCTGACCTGACTATTTACTGTTCATTCACTTATTTATATATTTATTCAGATGTTGAGTATTTACATGTTTTTGGTGAGTATAGTTAAAATACGGTCGTAGTTCTCCGGCAATGTTTACATAAGGAACATCGCTAACTACTCTCAGTGCGGGTACTTTACAGTTTGTGTGCAAGAATTTTACGATTCGATTGGACGTTTGATTACAATCTTAGTACAAGAGACCGTCAACTAAAAATGAAGACTTACAATTAATATTATTGTTCTGTTTTCTAAACAAAGTGTAAGAAGTAAGAACGATTAGCTAGAAATTAAGAACTTTGGTGAGAGTGTTGAACAGTATACCAAGTGTTATACAAATGCATAAAATATCACTTTATGATCCGATATTTGTATTTAAAGTCGCCTTTACGTATCGTTTAAAATAAAGATTTTGCCTCTAGTTCGACTTTGCACAAGTATAACTCTGGAGTTTCCTTTGAAATTTGGTAGGTCAACGTTCGAATTTGATTTTAGAAAGACTGCATTTTTACAACAGCGTTCGCTAGCTCTTGGACTATATGGTTCCGGAAATACGTATCGTTTCGCGCTCCAACTATTAGGTACGTTTATTTGTGTTAGGAAAAATCATTCAGCGGTGCAAACATTTCCACGCGGTTCGTCAGCACACGGTATGTTTTTACAAAAATTCTGCATCTATTTCCCAGCTATATTCCCTTTTATCATTGACATTGACATAAATATAAAGTGATCAAAGCCCAATAATATGTAAGATATTTATTTCTTATTAAATTTTAGATTTGTTTATAACTTTTGTAAAAAAATACGACTTATAATTAATTTTCAAATACAGACTAATCCTAAAAAAGCAAAAGACGCGATAAAACCTAACATAACAAATCCAACAATGTACCACATTCAGTGTATTATAAAGACGAACATTTTCCCCTCATTTTAACTTTACATTTACTAGTAACAAATCAGTGTGAAATTGATTATCCCGCGACCGTTTGGTTAGCGGCCAAAATATTAAGCGAGACTTACGATCAAGAAAAGGCCTCAAAGGATAACAAAAACAATTATTACATTTGCCCGACTCATGCAATAAACATCACAAATAACACAATAAAATAATAATAGGATCACATTTAGGTATATTATTTCAGACCAATACGAAAAGAGTTGTATTGGAGATAGTTTTTATAATAGTTACATCTTATAAATGTTTCTATCAAGACAAAGGAAATATCAATAAAATTACTTTTTATGGAGCTTGATGACTAATTTTATTGCAAAAGTCAATACCGAAAAATGTTAACTGATGAATATTTTAGTAAAGAAGCGTGGCACTTAAACATCCTACTAATATTATAAATGCGAATGTTTGAAGTAATGGATGGACGGATGGATGTATGTTTGAAGGTATCTCGGGAACGGCTAAACGGATCTTGCTGGAATTTGGCATAGATGTGAAACATAGTCTGGAAAAGTACATAGGCTATTTATTAACAATTTTTTAATTCCAGGCAGACGGATCGCGGGCGACAGCTAGTTTTCTCATTAACATTTTAACATGCTTTTTTTACCCAAAAACAAAATATGTTAGTTATGGTGTAAAGTATAATACTGCGCGACAAACAAATAATTCAAACAATATATTGTCAATTGCACAAACGTTTCAACATAAACATATCAAAGAGCTTTTTAACTCAAATATGTTATTAAAATCAAAACATTCGGAGTATATTGTTTGCAGTAATCAGCAACATGCAGCACCACATCCCAGTTTAATTAAGTCCGGAAGAGCTGAATTTAATTCTCTTTTACTCTACATGAAAAATATCTTCAATGAACAAGTTTTACGACTTCATATGCGGTACTAGTAAAATTTGAAATTTCAAACCATAAACACATACTTTAGTGACGCTATAACTTTTTAATATACTATAATAAATTTAACCTACTTTTATTAATTACATGACTCAATAACATAGTAAAAAGATTACAGAAGAGAATTGTTTTTATACTTCTAAAATCATTAAGGACCCTCCACAATCTCCAAGTAAAGTACTGGATAACTAACAAATAAATTAACTGACATATAATCTTATTCTGAATTCTTTTCCAATGACTTTTTTTGGACAAATTAGTTCCAAATAGCTTATTCAGGACTTGGTCTTTATGCAACAGGTCCTAATTAATGGTATAGAAACAGAGATCCTTGAAAAGTTCTACGAATAAATTATTCAACCTGCCCTTATTCCTATGAACGTCGTAACAGTATGTACTACTCCGTACATCTCTATCAGCCGTCATATCTAAATTCACCCCTTTCCTACGCACATCCTCTTTCATACAATCCATCCATACTTTCTTTGATCGTCCCCTACCTTTGTAGTCAATACAAGAATAGCTGGAATGAAAATCTGTTGTTAAAACGCAACTCATACAAAAAGATCGGTCGTAAATGGTAGGGTATTTTATAGTATATTAACTATCAAAATTGTTAACAGGTATGGTTATTCATATAAACATTCTGACTCAACGAAGACCGGTTCATGTAGGTTCGCGTAAACATCTGTGTTAAACCGAAGTGTTCGATTGACGCTCTGTCCGTGTTGAGGGATTGTTTATGAACTACTCCTTGTTATAATGTTACACACACATGCAAGATCTCACACATGTGTAAATACTACGTTAGCATATTATGTCAAGATTTAGTCAGTGAAGAAAACCGGTTCATCAATTTTATACTTAGTTAAAATGAATAATTTTGTTTTATATACTGTTAGGCTTTGTGTATATTAGATCGTCGGTGGCTCAGGGGTCAAGCACTTGAATTGCAATATGCAGATCCTGGGTTCGAATCCCGCCATGTACCAATGTGTTTTTCAATTTCCGATTTACATATATACATTTATCCGACTTTCTTATGGTGAAGAAAAACATCGTGATGCAACCTGCACATATATGAGAAGAAATTCAAAGATATGTGTGAAGTCAAACAACCCGCAATGGGCCAGCGTGATTGACTATGGCCAGATCACCCTTAACATAGTGTAGGCTCCGAGCCCCTGGGTGAGGTCGTATAGTGAGCTGATGAGGATGATGATATTAAGTTTTTAAACATTTTTTTTTCTACACTGCAATTTTCAAGCTTTCTGGTCATTCATGTAGATGGTTTCATCATTCATCCTTCGACATTAGTACCGATGCACCCTATCTTACGACCGATTTATTTAGCTGAATCCTTCATAAAAACCTTAAAATCTTATACCTTATGTTTATCCCTCGAGGCAGTATAAAGTACCCAGCCTACGTAGACAAACATTATGAGGGCGGGCACGACGAGACTGGCCACGACGGGAATACGACGTACCCACGCATGGTAAATTGCCAGTATCAGCAACGATATACCGACTAAGATGGCTATGTAACGACCAGTGCGACGTCGTTCCTCCTGAAACAAGATTAAATTCATTTTAGTATAATTTTTAATAAAAACAAATGTAGATTTTACAAAGTGGTCTCTGTATCCACGGATAACCCGGCCAGAGTGTCCGATATCGAGAAATAAAAGGCTGCTCTGTTTAAAGAAGAAATATAGGACTGTGCGAAAGATAACTTTGCAGAAGATTGCAGCGTCTCGAATGCGATAACTGATTCGATCTTTAGTAATATTAAGTGCTAATGTGGATCCGCAACACTGAATATATACTTTAATTACACATATGTTTGTGTGCTGCATGTTATTTTATTATTATTTCTTCTTCTTCTTCGTCGTTGCAGTCTTTTCAGACTGGTCGTGGTCATCAAGTATAAATGACCCGCTTCACCACCTACCTAGTCCTCCCTAGTCGCTGCCTTTTTAGTATATTGGTGTGGGACATCTCATTACTATTTACGTTCCCCATTATTAAGCAAGAAGTGTGTTTGTATGTTTTTAGTATAATTGAAAAAATGGTAGGGAAAAAACATTTCTTGCAACTCAGTCTATCAGTTGGATCCAATCTTAGATAAAGTCGGTCATAGACAGTTGTAAATAACTTCGAATGCGTAGGCGTCTTTGTGCGTAAGTGACGCACGAAGCAATAAACAAGCACTAATTAGTGTGCGTTAGATTGATGATTGTGCCCATCTCAAAGCATCCCGTCATCTATTCACCTCGTGTGCAATCCTCTAAGCAGATGTATTTATTTCTGAATATGTTTAATACCTGATTTTGATTATAAAAGACACTAAAGTGGCAAATAAGAATATACGTCAATTGTTAAAAAAATAGTTTTTTCCAAACTGAATTGCGACACTTTTAAGAAAAAGCATATTAAAGCGCTTTGTTTTAAAAATACCATAAGTATTATAGTCCGTGCAACGAAGGCAAATCGTAGTACATATATTAAAGATTAACTAATTTCCACAAATAATAAAGTACTGTACTGATTTCTAAACGTTGGCTGAAATACAACAGTTAATACGTAATTCATATTACTAACAATTTTTAAAACTACATTGCAACTAACTTTCTACAAAATTATTGCAGTAGTTGCAAAGATTTTTGATAAAACAGAACGCATTTTTATTCCTGGCTTATACACAAATTTCAACAGTGATTTTTGCACATTTAATTTTACGTTACAATTTTCTGTTTAGCATTTTTTGTAGCTCTGAGCTTTTAGTTACACATTAGCACGTTTCTAATTGTAGTTAGCTAGCTAAATAAAGAAAATGTAACTATAAAAGCCATAATCTTTTACTTTAACAACTTCTAACTCAACTAGATTGTCGTGTATTAATCTAGATAAATTATTAGTTAATTAAAAACTTAATCCTAATTCTCTTAACAGTTAACTTTTGGGTGACTTACAAAGACTTGTTTGTATAGTGTTTTCTAGTTTTTTATAGTGGTAAATATCGAAATTCCTAAATAAAACTTAATTATAAATGTTTTTTATTATTTTCTTATACGTTAATTCAATCTTAAGATAGCTACGTTATTCCTCGCTACTACACAATATCTATTTTTAGTACTAGACAGAAAAAAATCTTTAAAACATGTCTTTCTTTTCACGATTAAAACAGAGATATTGTTAAGTTAATATTAGAAAATACACAATAATATTAACAAGCGAATTGTGGATGTTATATATTTTACTCACATAATTTTTAAGAAAAAAAATCTTCGTTTTCATCTCTAAATATACGTACATATGTAAACATCACTGCTCACAGCACAAGGAAAAACTAAGAGACTCCTTAAAACATTTAAATACAATTTCATGAACAGAAAATGATCGATAAAAATCGACGTATGCTCGCTCGATCCGCGAGACGTGCCTTTACTGAGAAAATAGAATATTTAACTAAATGTACTCTGTACAAATGGAAATTAGAATGAGTAGGTGTGAAGTTTTAACACACTTTATTAAGTTTTGCCATTAGATTGCGTACGTAGATAATATATTACTAATGCATTTTGTACGTTACATTCACGATAAAGAGTTTTTTAAAACATTTATCAGTGGCTTAAAAAAAGTAACCTAACAGCAGACGTTATTTATATTTTAAAGTTATTATCACGACTTCCTAAAAAATTATAATAATCTGTCCTAGCCACAATCAATCATACATGTTATAAATTAAATAAATTCAATCAGTCAAGTAATTTAATCACTTTTATCGTAAGATAAACTTTAATTCAATTCATCAGTTAAATTTTTATTTAATTTTATTCTTATTTGAGGTCACTGAATGAGTAATACTTTTAACGATATTCGCATCTTCTTTGTGATTTAGAAGAATTACTATATAATATTTAACTTTTAATAAATAAATTAAACTGTTTATAGCACTAACCAAATGTTTTCAATGAAGTCACGCGTGCATGGTATCTAGCTAAAAATTCTCGACACCCATAAAATCTTTTCATTTGTAAAAAGAAAATAACACATCGCGTGTTATTAATCTGTTTGTTGAATGAATTGTTAATTATAGAATCCAGATTACCTCAGATCTTCGTTTCTACATTTAGTTTTCATAAAAATTTTAATTCTCACCTTTATAGACGACACCGGTGGAGCCGGCAAAAGACTGATAGAACCACGGACTTCGTTATTCAATTTTAAATTCATTATTCTGAAAAAAGTTTAATTATTAAAAATAAAAATGTTAGTAAACAAACTATAAGCAAACTGGCCGCAAATATTGTTTATTTTTTTAATTATGACTGACAATTTCGTGTATTTTATAATTCTGTCCAGCCAGTTAAAAAATCAATAAAAAAAGTTATAATCTAAACTTTGTTCGATAGAGACGAGGAAAAGTGTAGCACTTGTATTCAAAAATCAAAGATAGAAATTAATTATAGACAAAAACAACAAACACACCTGTCACACGATAGTCAAACTAAGATTGTAAAACCGCGAACCCATAAGCCAAACACGTAGACAAGTCAATATGCGTGTGCGCGTGACTCCCGAGACCGGCGGACATACACTGCAGTCAGAATAAACCCGACTGCATAATGATCTAACGCCTTATTTACTTCGGCCGTAAAAGAGACGATAAAGCCGACTAAGCAAGAAGCAACGCTCTCCGTTGTGCCTCCATAACGTCCGGCCCCGTAACAATGATGCGATTAATCAGTCGAAACATAAATATCGGCGTCAGATGCTTACCAGATCGGATTTTTATTGGATGAATAATGTTAACCATACCACTGTGTCTGTAAACATTTTTTCCGCCCAAATTCCTCAATTTACGATAGTCAAAGCCAAGCGAAACTCGCTAACAGACCGCCTTCACGAACTTAAATAAACCAATTTCCTGTATTTCTGTTTGCATAGCACAGGAAACTTTAGACAAAATGGTAATCCGTTACCTCTTAAAATCACGTATTTATGTTAATTATTATTTCTATGGTTACGCACGAAACGTTGCTTTATTCGTATGCATTCTTTTCACAAAAAAACACACAAGCACATACATAGAACAAAACATATGATGATATTTTCTTGAATCGAACACGAATTCGCACAACCGTAATGATATCAAATCTTACTAATATTATAAATGCGAATGTTTGGATGGATGTATGTTTGTTTGAAGGTATCTCCAGAACGGCTACATGAATATCGCTGAAATTTGGCATAGATGTAGAACGTAGTCTGAAAGAACAAATAGGCTACTAATTCCGTTTTTTTTAATACCGTGCGGGCGGAGTTGCGGGCACCAGCTAGTTGATAAGAAACTTTGTAATGACAATAAAAGCAATAAAGAATGTATTATAATAAAATTATATTAATTTTCTTTAGACACAATCAAAATCTAGGAGCGTTAACATTGACATCTCCATTCTGAAATGAAATTCCCTAGGCGCGATTAAAATCAACGAGTGGAAACAGTAGCGAGCCATTAAACAACATGGAACTCACAAAACTTTTCCATTACCAAGAAATGAAAGTATTTACAACCGGCGTCTGGTGATTCTCTTTGATTTATATTTCATTTTTCAATTGACGTAATCGAGTGACGAAGGGTAAAAGAGAGAATAAAAAATAGTTTAACTCGTTCCTTTGTACAGCAGTCAAAATTGTTGGCTATTATATTGTTGAATTCGGCGCCAAATTGTGTAGACGTTTATTTTTGAATACGCACCTGCGTGTGTTTACATTGTAATGTTCCTTTATCCAAACATTATATTTTTTTAATTTCCTAAATAAGATTGTTCATATGAACTTGTAGAGTGCTTAAACTGATAAGTGTTTTAGTCCCATAAATCGTAAAAATTCTTAACAATTAACCTTAGCTGGGAGTAACTGTGCCTTTAGTCAAATGCAGTGACCCATTGCAGCTTGATTGATATGTGTCGATAATTCAAGAATTACGTATTTAATTGAAATGACCTAGTTTCAACTTACTTAAAACATATTTACAGTTAGTTAAACAAAGTTTTCTTTTTAGTGTTACTTTCAACTTAATATACCTGATATTTAAAACTCGTTCTAAGTTAAGAAAAGCATTGTAAGATGCTACTTTTAAAGTTATGAAAGTAAATAATTCTCAATTGATACGTTTAGTACACGTATGACTCTTAACTTACAAAGAAAAACATGTATTTTCACACGCCAAAGTTTAGTCCTAAATGTCTAGCTTCATTTTAATCGTACGTCCGTTTTATTGTTACCTCCTGCAGTCTTTATAGCTTAACTTTATTTAAATAAGTATCAATTACATAACTTAAAGTGAACTTACTACTTAAATCAAGTTCACTTTAAGATGAGTGGTTTTATAGTAAAACTTTGACTTAAATTATTTAATATTTTTTAAAGTAATATCGTATTGTTTTCTGTAAATATAAGTTATATTTATAAATGCAACACTTATAAATAAACAAACTTATAAAAACTAGGCTAGGTTACGCACAAAATGTCATTGAACCCTCGCATGGCAGATTGCCCATGCAGCACTGCCAACTTTGTGACACCATAACTCTTGTCTACGGTCTGCCAACTATTAGTTACTTTTATCAAGGGACTGGATATAATTATCAATCTATTTTGCTATCCGTACATTGTACCGAACAAATCAAAACAAGTCTACCCCTTCAAGAACGACTTTCAAAAAGATTTTTAAAAGAAGATCAGAAATCCCCTCTATTTATGAACACGCTGTACCTATATTTGATTTTTACAGATAACATTTATGCTATTTTTTTATCTGTTTCAACATTTAATAGAGTAATCACTATATAACAAACATAAATTTTTAATTCTCAAATTGTAAAACTTTAAGATGAGGATAATTTCATCTACAATTTATAATCTTTGCTACTGTGATTACCGATGAAATATTGTGCGTTCATTTCGAGCGGTTATTATATTAATGGGCGATAAAAAGTCACACGTGGCGCTTTCACGCGCTTATTTACGAAATTAAACTCGTACCTGACCTAATTGGACGTTATTATTGTAACACTCATTGTTACCTTTGAAAATTCAATGAATGAATATAATTATGATATTAATTTGCGCGTCATTAAATTATTCGTGAAAAAGTAAAGTTATGTTTAGTTAGGTTATAAAATAATTCTCATCTATAAAGTATCCACATAGTGAAAATAATAATAGACAGTTTTTATGGTTATAAAAATTAAAATTGAGGCTATTAATATACGACACTCATAACATATTTGGAACCTTCACATTTTTAAATTAGCCTACACAATCGATCATAGTGTTTCAACTACTTTTTAAATTGATAGTATTTCATAACAGTTTAGTTTATAAAATCTAACATTATTGTTATTTGCAAAAACTAAGTTCTTCGTATGAAATCAACGAATTTAACTGCCAAACACAGTTCAAAGTTTGCAATGCACACGAGCCAATTAAAAGTTAAACTCACTGTATGTTTCAGACTATATGCTGAAAAAAAATGCTTGATATGCTATTTAGTAGTTCACGTGCTTTTGTTCTTTTAGATATCACTAGTGGCCATTGGAAAATCCAAAATTCGAATTCCGACCATCGCTCATAATTGTTTTTTTATTAGAATTGCCTTATTTACTTCTTCATAAAATATTAACTTACTAAAGCTGTGTATTTGATGTTCATCCGTTGGCACAATTTCCTAAAAAAGGAACACAAAGTTTTAAAACACCTAAGTTTTTAACTATATTTAGTTCTTATATCTAAACTAAACAGCAATTTATAAAGAGTAAACTATTTTATAAAGGATTTCATATTTTAAACCTTTTGACGAATAATACATTATTAGATAAAATTGTTATAAAATATCCTTTTATAATCAGTTAGAAATTTAATTTTTACAAGACAAACAGATTTTCTTAATATCCATTCATTTTTTTATATTAAGCACATCAGTTGGAAATAAATAGGACGATGATAGCCAATTTTGTTACATATTTCCTTGACCCAGTTGTTACTTCAGTAAAAGGCTTGATGACATTTACAAATTCACGCGTCCCCCCTTGTTCTGTTGTAAACGGATCTTTTCATTTCAATCACGACGGGAAGCGTCGAACTGTGAAATTACTTCCGTTACTTATTATCCTAAACAGTTGAATCATCGCGAGCATGAATTCAAACCTATTTACACGAATTGGTAAACATATAGCTAATGGCAAAATGCAAGCATTCACGCGCTCTCTCTCTCTCTCTCCCTAGCTTGCATCCCACAAGGTGGTGGGGTCAGTTTTCCCAATCCGTCTCTTCCACTTCGCTCTGTCCATGACATCTTCTTCTGAAACTTGGCACTCACTCATGTCTTTTATTACTACATCTTTCCATCTCCTTCTCCGTCGATTAAAGATAGACAATGCATCTACAACTGCGAATGGCTGTGTGGAGCAGCTTCGCCATTTCGATGAATTCAAGTGGCCGCTTGCTTTTTTGCTTTAAAATATAATAAATTCAACGTCTAACCACTAGGATCTTATAACTGTTTTGAAAGTAAAAATCATAATAACGACAGGGAAAATCTTTCTATTATCACATAAATGAAACATCAATGTAACAAAAGCTTGTAAAATTTTTATCGTTTGTACTTACGACATTTTTATGTCGTTATGTGTAAAATACAATGTATGCTTTTATAATAGAAATACTGGACAATAGATAATGTCTCATTTCAGGAACATATAGACACCACATTGCTTTAATATGACTAAGGGGTAACGAGACATTTATATCTTCATTTGTTTTAAATCATATAATTAAACACATGCAAAAACTACAGATTAAGGTCAAGAGAAACCTATAAATGAGTTCTTTGTCTGGCTGTAAACTGACGTACCGATGAGCATCCAACTACATCTTTTACGGTTTTTTTGTATCTAACGGAAGCGACGTGGAAAATGATTCGTGTGAAGTAAACTACACTTTGCGCTTTTGTGACAAGTTATATATTTGTTTGTCACGCCTCGGAAAGACAAAAGCCCTCGTTAGAAAGCCGCTGTGTTGTGCAAAGTTCAACTATTTATGTTCTAAACGTGGAATGAACCGCTTCACACGCTTTTACCAAATGTTAGATTAGAAACCTGAACACACACAGTATACAATGTTTTGAATACCACCTGGAAGAGACTTTTAGTATTTAGCAATTTCAAATCCTAAAAACAGTTTTTTTTTCATTCTTAATTCTTGCAAAACCAAAGAATGGGTAATCATAATGGAATATGGTACCTATCTACTTGAGAAAATGTAGTGGAGATTGTGCTTTAAGCATTAAAAAGAAAAAAGAAGCAATTAGATGTTACTGGTTTTACATTATATGATATTTGCCGGGTCTTTAAAACTAATACAAAAAATTCTATGGTCATATAAATGTCTAATTATCCCTCTCTAATATCTATATACCTTGACTGTATTATTATACATATTGGGCTTTATTTCGATTATATCAATAAATGCGTACGAGCAGTGAACTGTTAAATGATATCCGTCTTGAAGAGCCATGA